AGCTAGCTAAGAAATGTAAATGTGAACGCTTTGAAAGCCACCCAGGCGTGGCCTTCGTCTGCCCCACATGTGTGTCTGTCTATCTAAACCAGCAGAGTGGGGCAACCAGGCAGGGGGCCTCCAGCGCAGCAAATGGCGACAATTTGTGAAGAGAGAAAAAAAAAAGAGGATGAAAAAAATGATGCGAACTTCAATGGATTCTGCGTTGGATTGCAAATACTTTCATGTTCGTGCCACATGTGAAAGAAGACGCATCAGACCTCCCTCCCTCCCTCTCCAGCCTCTCCTCCCTATCCGCTCTTCTATTTGTATGACCCACTTTGCGACGACTTGATTACAGTTTTCAATGCATGCGACTTGAATGGCGTTTTGATAGCCTCTAATGCAGCTATCTGGCATCGCGATGCAGTCCACTTAGTGCCAGTTAAGTTGGTAACCTCTTTGCTTACACCAGCTCAGAGCAGACCCGGACCCCTGCCGGACCCCTCCCCGCACCTGCAGTGCAAATACCCCGCTGGCACTTTCACTGCCAGTCTGAATCACATTTCACTTATCTTTGGCAAACGCAACGAATTCTCTGCCCCAACATGCAAATCCGCACAGGCCGCTTAGTCCTTGAGCCGAGCGCAGCTGTGGACCCAACTAGACCTCCTCGGGCTTGGCGTTGCGCTGCCCCCAGCTGCCATAATGTGCTTGAAATATATTTCTGCATCTTCTCGACGCTGTTTCATTTGTGACAAAGTGTCCAGATCCGGATCCGTACAGCTGTCATTCTAGCATATCTCTGAGCTATATATATTAAAAACTGCCTTCTCTTGTCTGAGATTTGGGTAGTTGTTGTTCAGGGTTTTGGGGCAGAGCGAAGCACTTGGAATTTATGGCACTCTGATTATTGCTTCACTTGTCTGCAGCTATCTGGCAGACGGGCTGCAAATAAATAAATCCCCAGCTCTGCCACACTCGAGCATAGCTGGTCTGGTTGTGGCTGTGGAGGCATTAGAGTTGTTTAAATTTAAGCCGGCAACTTCCGTTCGGTCTTCATCATCTTACCACGTGGCCGTGCACTCATCCAATTAGACGCTTAATTGTCTGACAAGCAAATTGCTTTGTCAATATTTTCACCAAGTCATCTCTCTCTCTCTCTCTCTCTCTCTCTCACTATCTCTCCCGCTCTGACATGCTATGTAGTACTCCCCCCAATGCTAAAATACCAAGCTAGCCGAAATGCCTACCACACGCACTTACTTCTGACAGTTTCAAGCAGCGGACTTTATTACCCAGCCCTCGGGCTGGAGGTAGGGGAAGCGGCTCTATTGCTCCCTCAGTCATGAGGTAACCATCAAACAGGCTTTCAAGTTTGACCACAAGCTGTCGTGTTGTTGCTTCTGTTATTATTGATGTTGCTTCGCCCAGAAAGCTGCCCTTTTTCGGGGTGGAAGCCAGACTCGTGTCACTTATAGACTTCACTTTAAGTTGTCAATATTTATAAATGCTTACACACCCAAGAGGCAGAGCTTTACTAGATTGGACAAGATCTTTGCTTCTTCCTGCCTGTCGTACTAAAGGACTTTCCTTTAGCTGATCCTTGGGGGAGTAAAGGGGTCAATTTGCATACCTGCTGAGCCATCATTAGATATAATAAATTGTCCATGACATCTATGCTAAACCGTTATAGGCCCGTTTCTTTATGTTTGGCAACGCATTTGGAATTACAACGGAAACCATAAACAGCAACATTTCAGTTCCTTTAAACCCGGTTCAATAGCCGTAAAACCCGAACATAATTTTCGGTCCTCAATGATGATTTTATGCAAATGGTAATCAAGAGAGAGAGAGAGAGAGAGAGAGAGAGAGAGAGAGGGCAAAGGGCACACATATGCCTTGGCAATTCAGTTCAATAAAAGCCAACAAATGCCTCTTGATAAGTGTAAAATTTACAATTCCAATTTTTTACAACAGTTGTGCGGGGTCTTTAAACTGCCCCGCAGCCCACCCAAACTGAAAAAAAGAAACGAAAAAACGCAAGGACTTAACAATCATATGAAAAAATTGCTTAAGCTTACAAAATGCCACGTTAAATACTGCGTATTCGAACTCTCAATTGAGGCCTAACAAAGGGCCCGCAACTCAATTGAAAATTCTCTCGGCAAGGGGTTGGGCCCCGGGAAATCATAGAAAGTCACCTAATGGCACAGCTGTTATCCGAGAGCATTCGAACATAATTCACAATTGTCGGAGCTGTTGCCTTTGACGCTTGGCAATCAAATTAAAAATTGAGATAAATTCTGTGCTCTTTCTCTTTTTGCACCCCGCATGGACAGGGCGGATCGGCGGATCTTAAGATAGTCGACTTGATTGCTGGCATTGTGCGAAGGGGTTGCTCCCTGCTCCGTAATGAAGTCATTAAGGGTAGCTGCCATTCGGCAACCGTAAGTTTTCTATATCTACATCTGAACATGTGTTAGGTGTGTGTGTGTATGCGTGTGTGCGGTTAACTTTGAGCCACTGGGTCCTGGGGTTCCTTAAATGTTGTTCCTGCTGGCTGCTGCTGTTGTCGTCGTCGGCAAATGAATAAATTATCAACTATGTGAAGGTACTTAGGAGTGGTATGAGCAGTCATGTAGTTGCTGCTGTTGGCTTTTCGGGGGGGGCTGGTAATTGCAGCGCCTTGTCGTCTAGGCCATTAGAACCTGGCACTAATGGGCCTCTCGCCTACTACACGACCCGGACCCGGACCGGCAGCAGTGGGACTACGGCTGGCACTGGGGCTGGCCAACTTAAAGTTGGCAACCAAAAGCCACAGCGACATTAGCGCATAAAAAAGGCATTTGTAAGACATGAAAGGCACTCAGTCAATGGCGGGGCAGGTGGCTTTCAAAGGAGCTCTGGCGGGGCAGCCCTGAATGGGGATGCCAGGGAAGACAAATCAATGCAGGTGTCACAAATGTCAGACGACAGCTTTGGCCCGCCCGTGAGGATATTAATGTCGCTGACTGAATTGATGATGACGATTGTTGTTTGCTTGTCTGTCGGTCTGCCCGAGGGATGCGAGGGATGTGAGCGGGCGGTGCTGCGCTTAAGCCGATTTGCCATCTTATCACGGGACACAAGGCGCAAGGCGCAAGGCGATTCCGATACCAATCTCCGCCTAAGGCGCCTCATACAGCTTTCATAATGTGCTTTTCCTGCCTGCCTGCCTCGGCTGCCTTGGCTGCCTTGCTTGACTGCCTGACTGCTTGACTGCCTGCTCGGCTGGCTGCTTGTCAATTGACAAGCATAATAAATCATGTGTTATGGTATTAATCAAGTTGAAGCCTTCTTCTTGCCACTGACTTTGTAGATGTTCGCAGTGAGTGTCGCTGCGGTAATCGCATGACATTTATTGCAGTTACCGCTCTGCCTGCCACTCAAAGAGCCTTCAATTTAAACGGCCTTAAAGTCAGCTACGACTTGGAGTCGACTCAGCTGTGACTTTACGTCAAGTGGCCTTTAATTGCGCCTTTTGCTTCCATTCTATTCCCATTGTCCTGCTGCTGCTGCTGCTTGACTCGAATTGTTTCCCTAATTGCCATTCGTCGCTCTGTCTGCCCGCCCCGCTCACCGCAGAGCTCAGCCGTCTGGCCGGCACATTAAGAACTTGTAAAGTTAAATTAAGTGTTGCGTCTACTATGCAAAAAATTAAAAGGAAACTGAATCGTGTGTGGACTGAAAAGTTCTCCAGAAACTTTGACTTGCCCCGCACTTTGAGACTAGGTCAGACTTGGCTGGGCTATGCCGGTGATTTCTTCGGCTCTTGCGCCCGAGAATCTTGCTTTCGCAACTTTTCAGACAACCCACGCTAATTGTTCCCCCCCCCCCCCCTCTAACTGCAAATTGAATGCTTATTATTTAATTTGCAGACTGTAAATGTGATGCAATTAAAGGATTAAATGGGAAATCCATTAGGCTTTATTGTCAGCCAACAACTAGCGAATGATTCACACGGATTTACACTGTACACACTTATATTTCTATATGCCTCTAGTACTGAATTGATGGCCCACTCCACGAAAGGGATGCACCTCGATTGCGTTGCAGCCCTGCTGACAATTGATATATTTTCAATTATTTAAATGACAAGCTACAAATCTTAAGTGCTTACGACAATTTGCCCAAATGCGATGGCCCGAACAAAAAAAGGGTCCAAGCCAAAACTATCTCGGCCCTAATGTAATTGCTGTCCCCACCTCGACCGCAGCCCAGCCAGGGGAGCAGAGGAAATGCGGAAAAGCGAGAGGAATCGATGGCTGGGCGGAACTTGTGGGCGGTCAGCTGTTGGCATTCAAATAAACCAACGTTGACTTTTCCAACTACACTCAGATATCGAGTTCGATATGTATGTATGTAGATATTTCTAGGCGAAAACACACGCATTTCTTTGCATTACATTTTGTTTCTGCTTGAAGGAAGTTCGATTTTACTTTTAGACTCCTTGTCGAGCGCTCCTGCTCCTGCTGCTCCTGCTGCTGCTGCTGCTTCGTCGGCTGATATCGGCAAAAGTCGCAAATCAAATAAAGTAAATTGAATAAAGACAAACGACACGCCCCGCCCGACAGCCGCCGCTCAAATGCAGTTGAAACTTCTTTGAGAGTGGGCGGCACAAAATTAGTTGCTAGTTGTGTAGCTCGAGTTGTAAATGCGGGGACTGAAATCGAAATCAAAATGTTCGCATAAAAGAATTATCTCTGCTTAAGTTGGATTATCTTTGGCCATAGAATCCAATTGGCAATTGAATGGAAAGATGCAAGAGATTCGATTTGGCGAATTGCTGCCGAACGTAGAATTTATCTGCTTCCGTCTCCGCCTCCGCCTCCCTCCCCCACTCTATCTCTGTCTCTGTCACTTTACTATTTGAAGTGCTTTCCCCCAATCGACAGCCACTTGAGAAGTTGTCCAAATTCTGCTTATGTGACTGCGTCGGAGTTTCTTTTATTATTATTAAATTTGATTTGATTTGATTTGATTTGCTTGGGCAACAAATTTGCAAAACACAGGCATATGCTTCGGGAATTGGTTTACTCAAGGGTTGGTCGAATGCGCAATAAGTTCCCAATTCACATAGGCCCGTGTTTTGCAATGCCTCTCAACTTTATTCAGAGAACTTAGAGTAGTCTAAAACGGTGCGCCTTTAGCCGCATAGAGCGCCCTCCTGGGGGGCCGACTTGCTGCCTTTGGTGGGGCTCTTCTCTAGCTCGCGCAGCACGAGGTTCAGCAGCTCTATTTCGCGCTTGATGAAGTCGACGCTCTTCTCGACATCGCGTCGATTGAAGTGGGCGTCGATATCTACGGGCAGGAAAATTCAGCCAGCTGAGGTCAGTCTAAGGGCTAAATGGGAGAAACTCACCGCGACGCTTGCATAACATGCGGTACAGTATTTGGAGGCCGTCCAGGGCACGATCTTTGTCCAAATCGTTGTTGCTAATCGTGTCCTTGCACAGGCTCAGCGTGGTCTCCCACCTGAGACCCAGGGCACGTGACTGGTTGTAGGAGCGCTCAAGCTTGGCCAGATCGTTCTTTAGGCCCAGCACGGTCAGGGCTGCCTCGTTCGTAATCTTGACCATGCGCAGGCGCATTTCCTCGATCTCCTGCAGCTTCTTGTTCTCGAGCTCATTGATCTCGACCTGGGCAAGCACTAAGCACAGGGAGTTCAGCCTATGTAAATGGACAAATCAATTCCAAACTCACTCAATGCATCGCAACGATCCAGGCAATCCTTTGGGGAAACAAAAATGTCCGATTTCTCTACCACCTCATCGAGCACCCGCTCGTACGGCTCGAACTCGCGCACAGTCGCCTTGAGATCAGTTCGAAAGGCATTTAGGACGCTAATCGATCGCTTGAACTCATCGATGCCTTTGGCCAGCTCGTCATGGAGTGCCTCCTGCTGGCGTATGATGGTCTCAGCCGTGCGCTTCTTGTCCGCGCAGTCCTTAATAAACCCATTCACCTCAATGAAGCGCTTCCTCAAGCGCTCCTGCATCCGATACATCTGGGCGATGCGCTGATGGTTGAGCTCGCTCTGGTGATGGGCCTCCTCCAGCAGCTGACGCTGCAGTACCAGCATGGCATCATTCTCCCGGGCATTGGCTATGTAGAGCATCTCAATGGAGTCGCCAGCCGAATCCCAATTGGGCGGCTTTCTGACATTGGACAATGATTTGCAGATGATTTGGGTTCAGCTCAAGTCAGATGGCTGTACTTACACGAAAAAGCGCTCCTGCTGGCGAGAGAGCAGATACTCGCCCACGGACTCCTCGGGATTGAGGTCCAGGCTGCCGATGACATCGGTCTTGAGAGTGGGCTTAAGGCGCGGCATCTTGTCTTGTTTGTCTAAAGATTCTCTTCAAAATATAATTTATGAACTTTCGTTCATAACGTTTTGTCGTTAACTGAGTTTGAATTGAGTGTGAAATATGAGTTAGTCCAGGCTATTTGACAAACAATGCAAAGATTGCTCTCTAAACGTATAAAATCCTATTGGGAAGTGGTTATAGAGCATTTGGGCTGAATTAGCGAAGCTTAAAAAATAATATCAAACGGAAAATTTATGGCTTTCTGGCAGAAATTTTTCCAAAGATTGACGGAGCTTACTTCAAAAATTCTCATCAGAATACATTCTTAAACATATCCATGCACTCTTGATTTACGCGGAAAGGATACATCAATATTTTATGCATGATTTTGTTCTTGTATCCTGCTGTGGTCTGCCCAACAGCCATTTAACATTTTGAGTGCTGTTAATGTTTGCAGTCTGCCGCACTTTTGCGCAGCTACAATGTGGGCCTTCCCTGTCGACTGTTTCCAACTAACGTTCCACCGTTGCCAGGCAACGAGCGAGTTTATTTATTTAACATAGTTGGCGGTATTTAATTTATTATTACTCATTCGTTTGTAAACATTCAGTTCAGTTAAACACTTACACGAGTTACTCTTTCAGTCTTAATTGTTTCATGTTGGATTTTGAACTGTTAATTAAACCCGCTTGTTAATTAACATTTGAAATGCCGCGCACCAAGCCGACGAAGAAAATCGATGTCCTGGGCAACCTGGACCTGCGGCCCGAGGAGGCAGTGGGCGACTACCTGCAGTCGAAGGCCCAGAAGAAGTACTTCATGTAAGTTGGCTCAGAAATGGAGCAGAGACACAGTTTGGCCTAGCCGAGAACTCTTTGCAGCAAGCCTCCAAATGCAGACTCGGCCGGAGACTCCATCGAGCTGCTCTACATACACAACACACGGGAGCATGATGAAATGCTCAAGCTGCAGGAGCAGATGCTGGTCAACTCGAAGCGGCAGTCGGAAATAAATGAGGCGCGAGTGAAGCACATGTACGAGACGCAGGAGAAGCTGAGGCAGCGCTTTATTGATGTGAACAGTTTCATCAAGGACTGCGCGGACAAGAAGCGAATCGCCGAGAAGGCCATCAACGACGAGAGGCAGCTGCACGAGGAGCTCAGCGAGGACATCAAAAACTTCAAGACCTCCATTAGCGAGCTAACGACCTTTCGCGAGGCACTCAAAGCCACAGTCGAGGAGCTGCAGCCCTACGAGAAGGTGCTCGAGGAGGTTGTGAGTGTGTCCGATATCTTTGTCTCGCCAAAGGACTGCATGGATCGCTGTGATGCACTGAGTAAGTTTCGGGAATGAACTTGAGCTGAGCCCACCTGACTCAATGTGCTTTAGTGCTGGCCCAACTGGAGATAAGCAAACTGGAGAATAAGAAGCTGCAGGAGATCGAGGAGATGCGCCAGCACATGGTTAAGATCACCAACGAGGCGGCTCTCACTGTGCTTGGTCTCAAGAACGATCTCTCCAAGCTGGAACGATCCTACAGGGAGTCTCGGGCCCAGTGCTCGAAATGGGAGAAGATACTGACGCACACCAAGGATGTCATCTCCAGCAATTACTTGGAAAAGCAGCGGAATATTGGTGCTATTAATGTACTATACAATCTCCTCTGTCGAAGACGTGGTGAGTAGTCCACCTATCTATCTAATATCTGTATATACCGGATATTAAATTGTGTTTTCTAAAATACAGATAAGGCTTCGGTTATTCCGCGCGACAGTATGGAAAAGCAATTGGACTTTATCAAGGACGAGCTGCTGATCTTGAATGAATTGCTCAAAGAGTTCGAAAAGAAGGATGACTCGAAAATCATCGAGGCTTACTGCTAGCGGGGCTTTCAAATGTTACTTATTCGGTTTAATTGTATGAAATAAACAAAATATGAGACTAACTCAAAGTTGTGTATACTTTATTGTAGACCTAATCTAACGAAATAGTTGATGCTGCCCTGGAGCTAAGTCATTCCCGTTTTGGTCTTACATATTTGTCATTAAAAACTTTAAAATTCTTTATGAATTTCCTCGCTTATATTTGTATGTAAATTTATGTTTTGTTTGCTCCACTCACTTCGTGTGTTTCTGTTTTGCTCCACTCCCCAGTTTAGCTCGGGCTTTCGCCTTGCCTCAGCTTTTAAACGTTATTAATATCGCTTGTTGATGCCACTTTCTAATTGCTTTTACCTCATAAATCTTGGCCCACTCGGACGATGGCTTTTCTTTCCCAAACTCCGATGCCAACTCCGAGTCGGACTTTTGCTGCGCTCTCTGCATCTGCAGTCACCATAAGTCACAAAATTGTCGGACACTCAAGACAAATGTGACGCTGCATTGGCCGTTAGCTCATTTAATTAGAAAACTGGAGACAAGGGCAACTGGAGCTGAACGCAGTGGCTGGCTAAGGCCGGGTCCATCCATCCGCAGTGAGCCGGGAGTGCAGTTAACGGCCTGTCGCATCAATTGCACATTACGGACTGCACAAAAGTTCGCTTGACGGCTTTTTAATTACGTCAGTCGAGGAATGTGCCCAGTCCCAGTCCGACTCAAGCGCCTCCTTCCGATCCTTACGCTCCTCCTACCTTGCCTGCTCACAATTAGCGGAACGCCTGACAATAGCTAACACAAAAAAAGTATTGTCAATTGCACCACTTGACACCCGGCGGGAGCATATTGAAAAACTTTTTTAATTACCACCGAAAAGAGGCCGTATTCAATTATTCATCGACAGGCCTTCGCTGCGACGTTTAACCTGTCGACCACTTGACATTGTGGCGCAAGTCCAGGCAACAAAAAAAGCCAAAGAGGGATTTCATTCGTTACGAGGAAGTGAAAATACCCTTGTAGACACGAGGCTAAACATTTCTTTTATATTGCCACGGGCCAAGTTAAGAAGAGGGATCATAAAATTTTCAGAGCTCGGTCTAAATACTTTGAGCATCGGAAAAGTTTGTATAACTCTGATTTAAAATCTTTACGCAGGCAAGCGTCTATTGCAAATCTAAATTAAGAATTTATGTGTTTTCGAATCTCAAATTAGATTAGCCTGGAAAGGGAGTATTGCTATAAAGAAAATGGCGAATAAAATGAAATTAAATTCTGAAATTTTCTGAATTTTAGTTTTTCAAAAATACAGAAAGAAAGTCCTTTTTCTTTTCTTTAGAAAGTGAATCTTACTTAAGAGTAAAGAACAATAAATTCCTTTTGGAAAAATATACATATTTGTGATTATCAAAATGTTATAAAAATATTTAGTCAGTGATTATCATTTATTAGTTAGTGATTATCAATATTTTCTATATATATTAACCACAATGGCTAATGATTGTGAATTAACCCAAAGCTTAACTAGCATCAGCTAGAATAGCTAGGCTTTATTTATAGTAAGAATGTAGCTATATATACAAAATAGTTTAATTGTGTTGTAGAAATTTTAGGAATTAAAAAAAAATATATTACCTCTCATGTGTGTGTTAATCTTATTTCGATAAATTTTCGATGTAAACTACATCTCTAAGAAAAATTTCAAGATCTGAACTTTTGTAAAATAAATAATTAAATAAAACTTTAACACTCAATATTTAAGAAAATAAAATTTTTCAGAAAATTTCCATAATAAAATAATATTTTACTGCGTCAAGTCATGTTAATAAGAATGGAGAATTATGCATTCACTAACTTAATTTTCTATATTTGCCACCAAAGGTCGATATGATCCCTACTCTTCCCAATCATCTGATTATACCTTTCAATTCTTCCTCTTCCATGCGTTACATTAGCCAAGAGGATGGAATAGTATCCCTCGAAAAGAGTATTGCAGTAACAGATTTAAACTGCAATTTGACTTCAACAATGAGTTCAATGAACTTTTCGACTAAAATAATTTTCAATTGCTGTTGGTATGCTTAATCAATTGAATAGAAATGGTTTATAATTTAATAAACCATTTAATTGGCTAAATTAAAATGCGAATTTCGAATATGTAATTCGAATGATTTGCAGCCAAGCGTAGAGCTGATTGAAAAATCGGCCCAATGCAACGGGCTGACAAATTGAATGGCCGAAAATAAATTTGGAGATCTCCAACTCTTTTGGCTGCGGCAAGCAAGGCTGGGGGAAAGAGAACTTTGACATTTTTATGCCGTGTCGCAGTTCTGTTCGTGTTTTGATTCCCATTTCTAAAGACATTTCCGCCCATTGGAGCTGTTGTAGTGCTAGAAGGTGTTAGAACTCAGCCGCTGCTGTTGATATATAGGCGAGTCTGGAGTATATGAAAACATTTTAATTAATGCTGACAGCTGAAAAAGTCGCGGTCGCTTTTGTTGTGTAAATTTCGTCGTCGTTGTCGTCGTCGTCGTCGTCTTGAATGCCCTCTCGTCGGGGCACTGGGCTCAATAATTATTATTGGATTTCCTTTGGCATTAACTACTGGTTTTTCGTTTTCTTCTTCTTTTTCTTTTCATTTTCATATCGCTTCGGCTTGTGTTTTTCTTCTTCGCTGCTCTTGCGTTTTCTATTGAATAACACGTCAACAAATTAATCCGCTTAGCCCCGCATTTTTACCTCATCGAGTGGGCGCTCCCGCTGGGGCTGCCGGGCTAGACAACTGCCAGACGGTGAACCCCCAACCCAGAACCCCGAACCCTGAACCCAGTCGCATAGCCAGACAGTTAAGCTTTAATCCTTAATAGTTACTTCTGGCTTATTCAATTCTGTTCATTATTTGCCTGAAGCAACCTATGGCTTCCCCTTTCGCCGTGGCCCGATGTCAAGGTAAATGATTGAGCCACTGGGGAATGTCCCAGAGACCACTTCCACTTAATTAATGGTTTTCGATTGTTAGAGCATAGCGCATTGCCCAGGCGCGATAAGCTGCAGATTTCTCCTTTCATTATTTATGATAACTCGAGAAACTTAAATATGAATCTTCTCGCCCTGATGAGGATTCAAAATACCTGCAGAAATACCTAAGCTGTGTACAAATATAACGAATTTTAAATGCATCTGATAATGTATGCCATTGGCTATACGAATTTGGTGGTTAAAGTATTAAACGAAGCTCCAGTTGGGCGTGCTCGACTAGGCGATACTCTATGTCAGCTGCTCGATTAGGTGGTACTCTATGTGAGCTGATGTAATTGACAATTAAGACAGGCGAAAAATTAAAAAGATTTAACAGATTTAGTAGATCTAACTCACAGTATTTGAGCAATGTGAATAAATCAAACAAAATAAAATAAATCTAATATGATGTAAATAATCTTGATGGAAATAAATCTAAATACTCTTTCTATTTCGTAAAAAGTATAAATTTAAATGCTATTTTTTAATTGAATATTAAATTCAATAAATATATTAATATTTTCAATATAATAGCCGCAGTAGTACTTTTTATATAATTATTTATTTTTGCATTTTATTATCTTTATCTATTAATTTTATACATTTTGCAATCCATAGCAGTATTTGCCAGAGTGCAGACTTTGCAGAAAACTCTGTTTCAGTATATTAAAACTTATTCTATTTGTCGACAATTTAAGATATGTGTGTACAATAGGGAAGCCAACATGGCATAAACCTCGCTCAAATAGTAATTATTATTGATTTTATTTCTTTGTCGATTCCTTATTTTATTTTCTGCAATTTCAGTACATTGAAACTGAGATGAATATAAAATGCGAACTCTTGAATGACTCTATAATCATTTTGGTTCCAGTATATCAAAGCTGATTATACTTGTAGGCATTTCGAAATAGCTCTGTATAATACGGTAAGCCTAAATTACCGTAATAGCAAAGCCTCAATCTATAAGTAATGAAAATAGCAAGCATAGGATACAAACAAACATATAAAAGCACCTACATATATACTTATTTGAGTGCATTGCATATAGTCTCTAATATTAACTATCTAGTTCGAAATTGCAAATTTCAATGGAGATGTAATGTGCATATAACTTGTAATGTCTAGTGAGATCTACATATATATATATATGTATATTCTCCTTAGTTATTTGCCAAGTTTGTTGGGTTTGTTGAAGTGCAATTTCGAATTGCTATTAGCTATTAGCTTTCCCCAGTTGAACATTCAAGAAGCAACTAGTAGTATTAAATACAAACTAAATTCTCATAAATATTTGAAAATTTTATTTTACGATAGCAACGTGATTATATTACCTCCATTGTGTTTAATGCAAAACAAAGTCCTTTGAGCATTTAAGTTGTTTGAGACTTGAGCCTCAAGAGTAAGTATTCGGCTCATTTAAGTATGAAAAGATGCAGGCATATCTGTTTCAATAAACCTGGTGCAAATGTAACTTATGAACAAGCTTGTGATTGTGAAATAAAATAAACATTTTTATGTAATGGACTGGAAACAATGGAAAACAAACACTAATTTTATTGCAGCATATATTTATTCAATTACGGATATATAAATTATATTTGCTCATGCTGCCGATAATATATACATATATTATTATTGTCGTTTCACGTCACTTAAAGAGCTGAAAGATAAAGCTGCCCGGGCAGACAGTCAAGCGCTTGCAATATGTCTGATTTCAAAGGCAGCCAAGGAAATGGCCTCGTCATGTCATTCGGCTGCAACTACATCGATTGCCTGCCGGCCAATGCACTCCCTTGGTGCAACAACAATTTTCACTGTAATAACAATATATAACACACAAATTTGAATAACAAATTAACTCACACACACACACACACACACACTGTGCCACTGTGTGTGTGTCGAAATTGGCATTCAGCTTGTCGGGCTGCGACTTGCTGGCACAACATAATTGAATGGCTGCAGGACACACACGACAAAGCAGCGCAGGAGCAGCAAAAGCACCACCAGCAGCAGC